ATTCAATATTTTAATTATATTCATATCCTATATAATAAAAGGCTAATATTCAAATTGACCACAACGCAGAATGACTGGTCGCTATGACGAGCACTGACCACCAGGGGGCAGATGTTCAATACAGGAGCTGCTCCCTAATAGTCAATGTACTCCACAGGGAGAGCACCCCCTCAGTCAGAAGCAGGGCTCACGAAATTGGGCAAAATCGGCAGCCGGACATCCCCCAAGGGGTCCCGGATTAGGAGAACACAGGCCAGGCTGAGGGACCCCACCAGTGTACAAATGCATGCACCAGGCCCTTAGTAGGTAAAATAATGATCTAATTTTAATACCTCTCTAAAGTGTGGCTAAATATCTTTTCATATGTTTAAATTTTTTAAAAATATATTTTATTGAATTTTTACAGAGAGAGAGGAAGGGAGAGAGCAAGTTAGAAACATCGATCAGCTGCCTCATGCACACACCCCCACTGGAGATGTGCCCACAACCAAGGTACATGTCCTTGACTGGAATCGAACTCAGGACCTATCGGTCCGCAGGCCAACACTCTATTGACTGAGCCAAACCAGTTTCGGTTCATATGTTTAAATTTTTATTTTATTTTCTATCAATGATCTGGTTACTGCCTTTTGACTGTTTTCCTATTGGGTTTCTGCTCTTTTTATTGATTTACTAGAAGTTTGATGCATGAAATTCATACAAGAGTAGGCCTTTCTTCCCCTGGCTGCCAGCACAGGCTTCCCTCTGGCACCCGGAAACCAGGCTTCCCTCACAGCCCCGGCTTTTGTCCGGAAGGTTGCTTTTGTCTGAAAGGTTGTCTGGAAGCATATCCAGTCTAATTAGCTTTTATTATTATAAACTGTAAATGACTCCTATGATACAATAGTTTTGCCCAATCTGCCATTTGTTTTGTGGTATTTTATGTATTAGATTTAAATATAGTTAATTCAGGGATTATTTTTATCCAAAATTTCCTTTTGTTTTATGTCATGCTCAGAAAGATATTGCTCAGTCATTTTATTTTATTTTATTTTATTTTTTGTTAAAAATATATTTTATTGATTTTTCACAGAGAGGAAGAGAGAGGGATAGAGAGTTAGAAACATCGATGAGAGAAAATCATCGATCAGCTGCCTCTTGCACACCCCCTACTGGGGATGCGCCCGCAACCAAGGTACATGCCCTTGACCGAAATCTAACCAGGGACCTTTCACCGACGCTCTATCCACTGAGCCAAACCGGTCCCGGCTTGCTCAGTCATTTTAAATATAAAACAATCTTTCCAAATTTTCATCCAGTACTTAAGTGGTTTCACTTATTTGCATTTAAACTTTTCATCCATCTGGAAATTATTTTTGTATAAGAAATTAAATAGATATCTAATTTAATTTTCCCCCTAAATATAACCTCGATGTCACAAAACAATTCATTTTTTTATAGAAAATGCAATCCTCACCCTATACTAGGTTCCTGGGTTCATCGCATTTGTCTCTATACTCTTCTTTATTCTAAGCCAATGACCTCTTTGCATATTCACCAGTATTAAAATTTTAAAATCACCATGGCTTTACAATATGATTTAAAATCATACTGGTCATCTCTCATTTGTTTTATCAAATTTCACTGGCTACATGATGAATGTCATAATTAATATGTTATAATAAAAAAGGACCCTTTTGCAGTTATTTGGATCATGTTGACAACCACTGACAGATGAATACATAAATAAAATCTTATATAATAAAAGCCTAAAATGCTAACTGTCCAGTCATCCATTTAACCAATCAAAAGTATAATACGCTAAGGTCACTCAACTGCTCACTATGACATGCACTGACCACCAGGGAACAGACAACGGACCAATCGACCAGTTACTATGACATGCACGGACAACCAGGTGATAGACAGTTGACTGGTCAACCAGTTGCTATGACGTGTACTGGTTGACATTCCGACCAGTAAGTTAGCTTTCTGCTGGGGTTCGGCAGATTAGGACAAGCGAGATGGGTCGGACATGCCCTGGAGCCCTCCTGTGGTTCTGCCCCAGCTGGTCAAACTCCTGTGTCCCTCCCCAGCCCTGATCATGCACCAGGCCTCTAGTGTGGTATAAACATACAATGGAATATTACTGAACCTCAAAAAGGAATCAAATTCTTATATGTATTACAATATGGACAAACACTAAAAACAAATGCTGAAGAAAATAAGCCGGATACAAAAGGACTAATATTGTATGATTCCACTTATATAAGGTACCTAAAATAGTCAAATTCATAAAGATAGAAAGTAGAACAGTGGTCATTAGGGATTGGGAGGTGAGGAGAGGAGGGAAGAAGAAAGAGTTAGTGTTTAATGGGTATAGAGTTTCAATATAAAGGGATAAAAGTGTTCTGCAGATGGATAATGGTAATGGCTACACAACGTGAATGTACATTATGCCACCGACCTGAACACTTAAATTGATAAATTCTGTCATATACATACTGGAGGCTTGGTGCACAAAATTGGTGCATTTGGGGGGAGGGGGTTTCCCCTCAGCCTGGCCTGCAATTCTTGGACATCCTTAACATTGCATGGAGGCAAGAGAGGCTCCTGCAACCACTGCTGTAGCTTTGGGGTGAATGGCACTCCCCCTCTGGGAGCACATTGACCACCAGGGGGCAGCTCCTGCATTGAGTGTCTGCCTCCTGGTGATCAGTGTGCTTCACAGCCACAGGTCATTCTGCCATTTGGTCAATTTGCATATTGGCCTTTTATGACACAGGATTACCACAATTATTTTTAAAAAAGAAAATTATTTGCATCACTATTACATTATAACATAATGTTTAAATTCAGATTATTTAAATAAAAGTTTAGTTTCATTAAATACTAATTTCTGAAAGTGTAATAAAATACAATAAGAACATTTATTACACTCAGGAGTTTAAGAGCATCTAAAACACTAAAATGGAAAGAAAATGAACCAAAAGAATGAGCACACATGAATTCTTAGCTCAGAATGTTTCTAGTTCCATGGTTTCTTTTCCTACTTTCTTAAGTTTACATGGGAAAATTAAACTTGTGCCTATAAAATACCATGACTTAACAGCATGGATGGAGCTGGAGAGCATTATGCTATGTGAAATAATAAATATAACATGAGAAAAAACCAAGATGGCGGTAAACAACTAATCTGGCGCATTGCACAATTTCAAAACTACAACTAAAAGAAAAAATGTCTATCACCCAGAACCACGGGAAAGCTGGCTCAAAGAGAAAGGAGCACAAGCGCTGAAAAGCTGAAAAGCTTAGGTACGGAGGCACATGAATCGGGCTAGTGGCGGATAACTGGGTGCACAGCTTTTTTTCAACTTGAAGGGAAATAAGCTTCCGATCACTTTGAAAATTCAGTTTCTGGGGTCACGTGGGGGACCCAGACGCCTACAGGTAGAAGCTAGACTGTCGGCTATCAGGTGACTTTTTTGCAGAGGTGAGCACAGCAATTATTTACTATGTTGGAGTGTGGGGACGCGGAAACTTGGAAAAGGAGAAAAGCAGAGACTGCTGACAGTAAGCCATTGCTGTTTGTCACACCCCAGCCTAGTAACATCCTGAGGCTCCGCCCCACCCTGAGGCCCCGACTCACCCTGAGGCCCCGCCCTGCACATTTTACAAACCCACCCAGGCTCCACATATAAATGGATATTGTGGCTGCTTAATGAAATAAACTGCAGCTCCAGCTCCAAAACCGCCAAATCCCAAGCAAAGAGGAGAAAACTGTAGTTTTTGTGATAGCTCCTGCTGGGTGGCCTCAGACAGTAGCTGAACTGCACCCCATTGGAGATCCGGAAAATAGTGTTAAGTGTGAGATGACACCAGTTTCCAACTACTCTCATAAGGGACACATTTAACCTGTTAACCAAGCAGGACCTATAAATACGTCAAACGTAAACACTATTGGGAACGGGTAGGACATATGAATAAGTCCTTGAAATATATGTTGCGCCCTGAGAGGGACAGTATATATTTTTTGTAATCTTTATAATTGTTTGTAAAATTTATAATTTTTTAATTCGATATTTCCATTTTTTTGTTGGTATTCTTTTCTATTTGTTTGTAATTTTGTATTTTCCTTTGTGCTTTATATATAAATAAATGAGAAAATATATATTTCATTTATTTTAATTAAGTATAAATAAATAAAATAATAATATAAAATTACGTCCACTGGGCGTGACATACTGACACGTCCTAGTGAAAGAGTATGACACAGGATTGTACATTGCATAATTAAAAAGGGAACTCCCCGGTTAACAGGTTAAGAGACAGACTCAGTGAACACCAAAGCCCTACGGGAACAAATCCTCCCCCATAAACATGTCTCCAGCACAGCAATTCTTCTGTTATAGACACAGCGGGTCCTCATTTTTGGCCTGGAGGTCAATTCTCCCCAGTGACACCAACAACAATCAAGACTTAACTACAACAAGGGTGTCCACACAGTCCACAAAGGGGTGCACCAAGAGTGTCCACATCAGGCAACTGTGAGGCTGACCCACTGAACCATATAGGACACCCAGCACACAAAGCTACCCTACCAACTCAGGGAAGCAGCGAAAATGCCAAGACAAGGAATAGATGTAAATGAAAGAAATGGAGGAGAAAAAAAGACTGGATGTAGAGTTCAAAAACACGGTTATAAGGTTTTTCAAGAATTTTCTAGAAAAGGCCGATAAATTTAATGAGACACTCGAGGATATGAAAAAGGACCAACTAGAAATTAAATATACACTGACTCAATTAAAAAATATTATACAGAGACCCAACAGCAGACTAGAAGAACGCAAAAATCAAGTCAAAGATTTGGAACACAAAGAGCAAGAGGACACTCCTCTGCAGAAGCAAGAAGAGAAGAGAATCTAAAAAGTTGAAGATAGTGTAAGAAGCCCCTGGGACAACTTCAAGCGTACCAACATCAGAATTATGGGGGTGCCAGAAGAAGAGAGAGAGATAAAGATACTGAAAACCTATTTGAAGAAATAATGAGCGTAAACTTCCCTAACCTTGGTGAAAGAAATAGACTTACAAGTCCAGGAAGCACACAGAACCCCAAACAAAAGGAATCCAAAGAGGACCACACCAAGACACATCATAATTAAAATGCCAAGAACAAAAGACAAAGAAAGTATCTTACAAGCAGCCAGAGAAAAAGTTACATACAAGGGAGCACCCATATTATCAGCTGATTTCTCAACAGAAACTATGCAGACCAGATGGGAGTAGCAAGAAATATTCAAAGTGATCAATAGCAAGAACCTACAACCAAGATTACTCTATCCAGCAAAGTTATCATTCAGAATTTAAAGGCAGATAAAGAGCTTCATAGATCAGAAAAAGCTAAAGGAGCACATCACCAACAAACAAGTATTATATGAAATGCTAAAAGGTGTTCTTTAAAAAGAGGAAAAAGAAAAAAGATAAAAATTATGAACAACAAATACATATCCATCAACAAGTGAATCTAAAAGTCAAGTGAATTAAAAATCTGAGGAGCAGAATAAACTGGTGAATAGAATAGAATCAGGGGCATAAAATGGGAGGGGATTGGTAAATCTCTGGGGGAAATGGGGTGTCTGTTTAGGAGGTATGGGAATAGATTAGACAAAAATCATATACCTATGGATGAAGACAGCGGGGGGTGTGTGTGTGTGTGTGTGTGTAAGGGCAGAGGGTGGGGTGGGGACCTGGTAGAGGGGCGCTATGGGGGGGGGGGGGGGCGCTATGGGGAGAGAAACAATTGTAATAATCTGAATAAAGATTTGTTTAAAAAAAATAAATAAATATATATATATATATATATATATATATATATATATATATATATATATATATATATATATATATATATCTCACAGGATATCACTTATTTCCGGATTATAGTGAACAACATAAACTGATGAACAAAAACAGAGACAGAGAAGCATCAATCAGATGTTCAAACCTCAGAGGGAAGTTAGGGGAGGGTGGGGGTAAGGGATAGAGTTCAACCAAAGGATCTGTATGCATGAATACAAGCCTAACCAATAGACACAGACACCAGGGGGGTGAGTGCATGAAGAGGACAGGGGTGGGAGGACAATAAGAGAATAAAGACACATATGTAATGCCTTAATAAAAAAAAAAATACAATGACTTAAAAGTTACTAAAATTTAGATCTAAATAAATGAAACCAAATTTTCTAATGTATTATTTAAAATCTGGACATCAGTAATATGCAATAAATACATACTTACTGTAAAACAAGAGTAAGTAATTTTATTGCTTGTACTGCCACATCATATTCTTTGTCAAGGGTCATAGACACAATTCTATCCTAAGGACAAAAAAAAAAAAAGATTTTTAAAGGGAAAGCGAAAGAAAAAATATTTTCAAACGATAGGTAATTTTTAAATACTTAAAAGTAACACTAACCTTGAACCGACTGGTAAAAAGCTCCAGTTTGGAATTAAGCTCTTTGTTATAATAAAGCCCTTGTAGAGCAGTGAGACATTTGAGTCTTACTTCACCTTGCTAAAGAAACAAGAGGAAAAATGCATTAAAAAGCTGGTATGTTTTCAACCGGAATAGTCAATACATATACTCTATTTCCTACTTAAAATTTTTAAATGTTCTATATAGTAGCATTTCTTCAAATACTCACTTTTCATAATGAAAAATATGAATCAATACATATATATATATATATATATATATATATATATATATATATATGACTAAATACTTTTGGGGTTATCATTTACAGAAAGTAACATTTGTAAGATAAATCAAGGCCAATGAAAAGACAGCTTCAGAGATAGGCAGATTAATACCGTTTCCCGGAAAATAAGACAGTGTCTTATATTAATTTTTGCTCCCAAAGATGCGCTAGGTCTTATTTTCAGGGGATGTCTTATTTTTCCATGAAGAAGAATACGGTACACATTTATTGTTAAATGAAAATAAAGGAAATTTATTACCTGTATATGGTATGGTAGTACGGTAGTTGTCAACACAAACCAGACAAACTGTGAATCCTATAGTATCAAGAATTTACTCATTTATTCAATGACAATCATGTCATCATCTTCTGGAACATCATGATAACAATCCACTTCCTGAATTTCCTGGTGAATTTCTTGTGACTCCATTTCTTTCAGAATCAGTGGACCAAATCTCTCATGTTTAGCAATAGCATTCTGAGACAGAGCCTAGGGGGGGCTTTATTTTCAAGGGGATGCCTTATATTTCACTCAGAAGGAAACCTGTAGGTAGGTCTTATTTTCGGAGGATGTCTTATTTTCGGGGAAACACGGTAAAAACAGGCCAAAGTCAAGTTTTAACATACAATCTAATATGCATATTTATCAAGAGGAATTTTTTAAAATATAGTCCTCACATACTAAAAACCAAATTAAGGACTCTTTCCAGTACTCTAAGAAACGCCTCACTACCCCCACCTACATGATCCTAATGTTTCAGTATAAAAAATAATTCAAGATTAAAGGCAAAATCAGTGGCCACAATTCAAAACTTTACAGGAATTTATGTGACAAAGATGATAGTTTCTTGGAGCATTCAGAACAGAATATAGGAGACAGACTTATAGGAATAGAGTCCTAGATATACCTACATTCATATAACTCTTTTTGAATGAGAATTGTATACAGTGATGCCTGTAGGTAAATATAGTCTGTAGGGCATACCTTACCTTATCATGCATAGTCCAACCAACATATTTTAAATAACTGTCATTAAGAAAAGCATCACTATACATTTTCATCCAAATGCCAATTTCTTCAATACAAATAGCTCGGATTTCAGCTATTGCATCGCTAAAGGAAGGAAGGAAAAATTATGCATATTAGTGCCACTATACCACAGAACTTTTGATTTAAGAGATGCCAAATAATTCAAACCTACTATGAATATACTACTATGTAAAGTATTATTGGTGATTTAAAAATAGAACTGGCCCAGCCAGCATGGCTCAGTGGTTGAACCAGGAGGCCATGGTTCAATTTCAGTCAGAGCACAGCGTGGGTTGCGGGCTCAATCACCACTTTGGGCATGTAGGAAGACAGCCAATTGATGGTTCTCTCTCCCTCTTCCCTTCTCTCTGATATCAATAAAAATATATTTTAAAAATAAAAGTAGAGCTGAAACATGGCCTCTGAATGCCAATGAGGTTTCAATTTAGTTGGCAAAAGCATAATTTTCACCACATAAATAAACTTAAATAGAACTACAAACAAAATGGATCACCACCTTTTAGGCCATGCCATATCACAGACTTTTGATCACACCTGCTGGGCATGGTGTTTTTCAGAAGACAGCAGAGCAGGCACAATAGTCTGGTTAGAGCATAATTTTCCAGGTGAGAATTAGTTACACATAACAATGAGGCCAACCTCAATTTTGATTTGAATGCCAAACTAAATTATTTTAATTTATCCTGTAGGTACTGGTGAGTCATTGAAGGCATTTTAGCAGAAAAACAATGCAACAAAAGAACATTTTAAGGAAACTTCAAAAATCTCTACGCATGAGAATGATGAGGAAATGGACAAAGATAACTATGACAGTAAGAAATAAAAAGAATGGGCAAAGAGACATTACAAAGGAAGTATTAACCTGATTAAATAACTGCCAAGTTGAGGAAATGAGAAAAAAGTTGAATATGAATGCCACCAACATTTAAAGAATAGGTTACAACAGAAATGGTGGTAAGATTACCTACTTCTTTCCTCTATTCATTCAAAATAGCAAAAGAAAACATCTCACATCTATCCAAATTTTCCCACTGATACTCAAATGAAGAGAAGAGAGTCAGGAGTCAGTGTGTATACGCTCTATTAGCATAAGACATACAAAAGCAATGAAATATTCTATATTCTAACTCCTAATAAATAATAGTAGTAGCTTCCATTTGCTGGGCAGCTACAAGTCAAGAACAACACTAACCCATTTTTCAGACAGAAAACATCAAGTTCAAAGCAGTTAAATAATTTGCCTTAAGTGTGTCTCATTTCATGCAAGAGCTTAGATTCTAACACTGACTTTCACCAACATTCTTTCGACTAACTTATACTGACTAAACCACTTCCAAACTTGAATAGAATTAAGAATTACATAGGAAAAAAAAACTATCATGACTTACCGGTATCTATGTACAAACACTCCCTTAAATATTGCATTCATCATATTTTCTATTTCATCCTGATTTTCTTGAAGCTGAAAAATAAAAAAGGTTTCTTTTCATAAATAATGGAAGACAACAAAAAGAACATCTAAAATTTGTTAAATTACAAATGCAGGATTCTCCAGTAGTTTAGTGGTTACATCTATATTTTAATTTCACTAGACAACAGTAAAAACAGAAAAATTAACAGCTGTTATATATCAGGTAAAGTTCCTTGATAGCTGGAATATTTGACTTGGCTTTTTTAATGTTTGGCTGATAGATTAATTTTTCTAATGCTCACAAATTTCCATTGTATAAGGGTATATAATGAAATCTGTTGAAGTTTATAATAATACATATTACCTATTAAATAATATATATGTTCATATAAAATATTAACAATATTTGATGATCCTCTTTAAATTCTGAAAAAGAAAAGTCATATTAACTACTATCTGTTCAAAAAATAAAAGGGAATAAGATAACTTGTAAAAAAAATTGTTTCCCTGCTAAATTCTTTTTAGGAAAAGAAGGCTCACCTGAAAAAAAATTGAGTAAACATTTCAAATCTTGGTTGACTATGTACCCCATATATTTTTAGAGTTTGAGAGTTAAGAGAAAATTGTTTCAGAGCTTGGGAATTATAAGAAATCTGTGTTTTCATAAAAAAAAATTTCTTTTCATGAATATAATCTTGCATTTCTAAATAATGTTAATTTACGTTCATTGGTACAGATAAATAGCCAAAGGTACAGGTGGTTTTTTAATGTGTTTAAAAACTTATCCCTAACCTAGAAATATTAATATCCTATATTTGCACAAGAATTTCATCCACTCATCCTGGCCCTGGCCAATGTGGCCGTTGGTTGGGCGTCCTTCTGTGCACTGTGTGGGTTACCAGGATTGCAGGCTTGTTCCCTGATAGGGGGTGTGCAGGAGGCAGCAGAACAATGTTTCATTCTCACATCAATGTTCCTCTCACCTTCTCCCTTTCTCTCCCTCTAAAATTCAATAAAAATATTTTCAAAAAATAAATCTATTCATTCCGTGTTCACAACCTTAAATTTATGTACAAGAATGAGGCAATAATTTCAAAAAGTATGTTTGCCTAATAAATCATCTGAGGAAATTAATTAAATTAAAGGGCAAAAAGGTCAGTTCTTCATTTCAAACTATATGAAAGTGATGAGGTATTAAAGCATCAGAAAAATACGGATCAAATTTTTTTAGCATTTCTTGAGTCGAGGCAGTTTTAAAAGTTACTGACAATCTCAGAAATAACTTTATATTATAGCTACGCCCATGCCAAAATCAAGTAATTTATGAATCATCATGGCAAGTATTGTAACTCAACAGCACTACTGAGTTTCATCAGACTTTGTCTTTAGAAATAAAAATATAGATCCCCAGTAACAGATAGCAAAACATTATATCATCAATGAAGGAGGAATTTACATCACAAATACAACAATGAAATATTTTATTTATTATTTAGGGAAAGACTGAAAAATATTTTCCTCATTCAAATCTGAATTTAGCAGTCATTAATTTTAAACAAGTGCTTCTACATTACACAAAAATAGCCAACAACTGAGACATCATAAATAGCTTTTAAGTTATTTTTCAAATTGATTTCACATAAGTGAAACTTTATTTCATCCTGACAAGCTGAAGGAGGAAGTTGAGATATTTTCACAGAAGAGATGAAATACTAAGGCTTAAAATAATTTGTCCGGTATGCCTAGGAATTCTTACTTGAAGCCTTGAACTCTTAACCCTAATCCACAAAGAATGAAAATATACCCAAAAGGTTTTGCTGGCATAGATAGTCAACAAATTCAAATCTTTCCAAAACATTTTATCTAATCAACTAGCAAAACTGTGTCATTAATGGTGACCAAGTTGGTCACCTATTAATAGTTAGTCACCTATTAATGGTGACCAAGTTGGTCAAATATTAATATATGAATTTACCTCTTTCCGCTTTTGTAGCAGGAGTTCTAGCCTCTCATTGGCTCGTTTTCCAATTATTTTATTCCGTTCTGCCTCATATTGTCTTTGTGTATTATCCATATTAATGCTAAGATTTAGTGCCACATTCACCAAAGCTGTCATCAACTTCATAGCTATTTTTCAAGGGAAAAAAAGGTTGATATTGGTTTCACAGATACAAAAAAATTACAAATTAAGAGAAATTAAAAACAAAGTGGGCTGTTCTGCTTCTAAAAGAAAAGCAAAATATGGCTACCACAAATTACAAAACAGCTAATGAGTATTAAATACTTACTGTTTATCAGTTGGTTACCTATGTTATATACTTTTCATAGAATATCTCCTAATCCTAATAACAACCCTCAAAATTAAGTACCTTTATCCCATTTTATTCATGAGGACACTGAAGATCAGGGAGATTAAGAAATTTGCCTCAGATTATGCAGTTCATGTAAGTAGGATTCAAAATTTAGTAATCTGTATGGAGACTATATATCCCCTCAAATGATCTTTTTCAGAGATCACGATTCACTTTAGAAGTAAACTGTGGTTCATAGAGCAGTCAATTAACTATCTCAGCAATCAAAGAGAGAAAGAGCCTGTATAAAAATGTTAGGCACTATAATGTATAAAAATGTTGGGGAATTTTACCAGTATTTGATTTCCTTTCATTCTACTATATTATATATCATGAAGACAATAGTGAAATTATGAAAAACATCCAGATAAAAATTCAAAAGTACAAAGAGTAAAGTAACATTCAATGAAGTGATATTTTAATTTTTTTTGTTTGTGTGTGTGTGTGTGTGTGTGTGTGTGTGTGTGTGTGTGTGTGTGTGTTTGTAATCCTCACCAGAGGATATTTTTCCATTGATATAGAGAGAGAAAGGAAGGAAGGGAAGAGATGAAGAGAGAGAGAGAGGGAGGGAGGGAGGGAAGGAGGAAGGGAGGGGGAGAGGGAGAGGGAGAGGGAGAGGGAGAGGGAGAGGGAGAGGGAAAGGGAGAGGGAGAGGGGGAGGGGGAGGGGGAGGGGGGAGGGGGGAGGGGGGAGGGAGGGAGAGAAAGACACACTAATGTGAAAGACACATCAACTGGTTGCCTCTGACACATGCTCCAACTGGGGCAGGGAATTGAACCCCACCTGAGGTCCATGCCCTTGACTGGGAATCAAACTCACAGAATGGAGTACACAGGCCACAGGGTGGGGGCACACCTGAAGTGCCCAGCTAGGGTGATGTGGAAACTGTGACACTGGAACCCACAAAAAAAACTATTACATCAATTAGGCCAGTATACCAAGGCTAGGAGACATAGCACCTCTACTTAATACATAATATTCAAATAGGTTTACCACAAGAAAATCATTACATACTAATACTAGAGGCCTGGTGCACTTGGGGGGTTGGAGGGGAGGGGAGGAGTGGTTCCTCAGTCTGGATTACAGAGGATGCAGGCCAGGCTGAGGGACCCCACAGATGCATGATCAGATGCACAGAGCCAGAGAGGGATGTGGGAGGTTGGTCAGCCAGGGAGTTCTCCAGGGCGTGTCTGGCCCATCTCGCTCAGTCCCAATCAGCTGGACCCCAACAGCAAACTACCGGTAGAAGCATCTGCCCCCTGGTGGTCAGTGCATGACATAGTGAGTGGTTGAGCAACCTTAGCATATCATTAGCATATTACACTCTGATTGGTTGAGTGGCCAGCCAGACACTTAGTATATTAGGCTTTTATTATACAGGATAGTATGCCTTCACAAAACCAAACTAAAATAAGATCCCATTCCCAATGATTCATGAGGGTTGGATGAGAGGTGGGTGGCTTCCCACTGGTTACTTTATAAATAAAATTCATTAATTTATGTCACCATTATTTCATTTCTTTTAATAGAAATCTTTTTCATGTTTAATAAAAATCATTTTCATCTCTAATCTTGGGAAATACACAGAAAAAATTTCTAAATACCAACCTGCCAGGGTGCTTGTATGTCGAAAAGCTCTGACTTGTGAGTCAGACAATCCTGTAAGAAGTGAAATGACTGTATCCATCATGTATTCATCATATATGATACTATATTGACATTGCCGTACTAATACACCAATGAATTCACAAAAACTGGATTTGAACTTCTTCCACTGAGGACCGGCCATGGTAAGTGGATAATCTCCACTATCCTAAAACAAAAAATTTAAACAACCATTTCATATAAAACGAGTGACAACAAATTTTACTTCTTTTTACATTTCTTTTCTAATAAAATCCTCAAAGTAGGCAGGAGAACAATATATAAAGGCAAAAGTAAATAAAAGCAGAGGACCTGTGCTTTTATTATTTTTTTTAAATATATTTTATTGATTTTTCACAGAGAGGAAGAGAGAGGGATAGAGAGTTAGAAACATTAATGAGAGAGAATCATCAATCAGCTCCCTCTTGCACACCCCCCACTGGGGATGTACCCACAACCAAGGTACATGCCCCCAACCGGAATCAAACCTGGGATCTTTCAGTCCGCAGGCCGATGCTCTATCCACTGAGCCAAACCGGTTTCGGCCCTCTGCTTTTATTAAATACCAAAATGAATATTTTGAATTCACTTTAACCAATGAAAATATATGTCAATTATTCAGGTTTAAAAAAAATGCCTCTCTCATCAAACCAAAACACTATTTTGATAAGCAAAGATTCATTTATTAAATTTTAATAAACAAAAACAAACCAAAGTTATATTTTTAAAAGCATTCAAAATGATGAAATCACATTCTCAGCAATCTAATAGATTAATGTATGATTTCTAAATATTCAAAAGATTACCATGCATGTTTTCACTAGCTTCAGATCAAATAGTCAACAGATATAAATAACCAGATAATTTTTTAAAGAAATGAAATGTAGTAGTATAGCCTGGAAACAATGGACCTCAGATACTCTTCATAAAAAGGTGGAATATTCTTCAATGTATTTACAGTGAGGTTTTTTTTAATATATTTTATTGATTTTGTACAGAGAGGAAGGGAACGAGATAGAGAGCTAGAAACATCGATGAGAGAGAGTCATCGATCAGCTGCCTCTTGCACACCCCCTACTGGGGATATGCCCGCAACCAAGGTACATGCCCTTGACCGGAATCGAACCCGGGTCCCTTCGGTCCCCAAGCCGACGCTCTATCCATTGAGCCAAACCGGTCTCAGCAACAGTGAGGTTTTTTCATAAATAAAAGCAAACAAGTCCTTTTAAAAAAAAAAAAAAAAGCAGAGACCAATATCACATAGAACTTCTAAAAAAAAAAAAAAAAAAAAAAAAAAAAAAACTCCCGACAAGAGTATCAGAGAGTATCATTTTATCAGTTTAGTAAAATTTTGTAACAATTAAATTTTGTCATTAGAACAATATTTTTTTTTATTTTAAACTATAACATATTTAAGTAGTACTATTTTGCATCTGAGAATAAGGTCCTAATACTACTTTACAAAATGGTTATCTTCCGTTTTTTCTGATTGGCTCATTTAAGTGAGCCAATAAGATGATATTAAAACATATCATCTTAATTGTTAGCAACTTGGTTTTCTAATTATTTTCAAACTATATTTCAGGATTCCTACCTCAAATAGCTGTTTACTTTTAGTAAGAAGGTTCTCACTAAAACATTTAATATTAGAAAGCTAAAATAATACTATATTCATAATTACATCTTAACTGTTTAGAGGTTAATAGCATTTAGAGATCAACAAAGCAATTTTAGCAACTCGTTTATCTTTTAGAATGATAGTTGAGCCCCGCCAGCATGGCTCAGTAGTTGAGCGTTGATCTATAAACCAGGAGGTTACAGTTCAGTTCCTGGTCAGGGCATATATCAGGGTTGTGGGCTCGATCTCCGGAGGAGGGCATGCTGGAGGAAGCCAATCGGTGATTCTCTCTCATCATTGATGTTTCTATCTCTCTCTCCCTCTCTGAAATCAATAAAAATATATATTTTTTTAAAACAGAATGGTAGTTGAAAATCCCTTAGAGTAAGCAAGGAAAAATAAAATTCAAATGAGATAAAACTTTCTATTAGAAAATTCTCTGTAAAAAGCTTTGAAGAGTAGAAACTACATGTTGGAATACAGCTGTGAACAAAACAAAAATCCATGCCCTCAAGAAGTTTACATTATAGTAAATATAAATATGTCTTTTATTGATAACAATACTCCAAAGACATCATTTTGATAAAGGAGCAACTCAAATCTAAGCTACTATTTTTTATTTGTATTATTCTTGTTACTCATATTTAAAAAAAAAAGGAGATTTTAGGCATAATCATTTATAAGTATGTATATTTATAGATATATTTCTTTGCTGGTTCCTTATTGACCAAACCTTCCTCTTACAAGATGTCAAGATATGATCTTAGACTCTAAATTTTATTTTAGCTACCATTTATTAAGTTCTTACTATGTGCCAAGCATTATAAAATGCTAAGGAATTTTTCAAATATTACTAAATTCAATCTTCAAAACAGCCTATGGGATAAGTATTATTAGCCCCATTTTACAGATGATGAAACTAATGCTAAGATAAAAAATTGCCCAAGGTCACATAGTCATCATCTGATTGAAAATGATGCCAAAGCTCTTATCCATGACACTAATATTCAGAACTTAAGAATACTTTCAAAAAGAAATTTACAAAAAGAATATCTTCAACAATAAATCAAGATCAACAAGCATAAAATTATCAAAACATTTAGATTAATGTTACCTCATCAAACTCTTCAGTCATTTTTCGAATTATTTCAGAGTTCTGCATATGTCTAAACATTTCTGCTGTGACAACTCCTGAAATTTGCAAGTGTGAGAAGTTAATACATGGTAGAATGAAATAAATAAAGAGAACTTTTCAATCAATCTCTAATACTAAAATGGCTAGTCACATAATGTGTACTTCTTCATTATGTGACCTTTACTGTGAACCTCAACCCTATAAAATAAATAACGCACAAATCCCAATCTCAATGTACACAAGAACCCTATACTTCCAACAGTTATCTTTCTTCCTAGCCTTCACCATTTCTGCCTGACTTATTTTACTCATATCTATATGTACACAGGATTAGTTCCTTTAATATAAAACATATGTTATCAGAATGAGGCAGCTTTCAGGGTAACATTTAAAACTGTAAGGAAGACCCTAAACATAACAAGGGGGAGATTAATAATAGGCAGAGTTCACTTTAACCAATTTTCTTCATTAAGCACTATTTCATGTAAGAGTAAACTACATCCCATAATTTTCTAAAAGAGCTCCAAAAAAACATAAGTGGTAGTTCCTGCCCACCCAGAAGCCTATAATATAATTGGAAGATTAAATAAAGAATAACCTAGCTCTGGCCAGGTGGCTTGGTTGCTTTGGAGTATCCTCCCATACACCAATAGGTTGCAGGTTCAATTCCTGATCAGGGGATATACGTAGGTTACATATTCCATCCTTGGTCAGGGTGCATATGGGAGGTAAGTGATTACTGCTTCACTCTCACATCAATGTGTATTTCTCTCTCCAATAAACATGTCCTTGGGCAAGGAAATAAATGAATAAATAAATATATAAGCCTAAAAAGGAAAGGAAGGAAAACATCAAGGTATTATATAACAAATGCCCTAATGAATGGCTATGCCAAAAATGGCTATAGTTCAGACCCACAAAAGAAGACTGAAATCTGATAAAGACATTCAGAATTTTAAAGAAGGGAGGGAGGAGAGGAAAAAGGCACCCAGGATATTTTTTGTTTTGAATTGATTTTAGAGAAGGAAGGGAGGAGGGAGAATGGAGGGAGGAGAACAGAGGGATAGGAGAGAGAGAGGAAGGGAGGGAGGAAGAAACATTGATGTGAGAGAAATATCTATCAGCTGCCTCCTATATGCAATCCAAAGAGGGATGAAACCTGCAACCCAAGCATGTGCCCTGACCAAGAAATGAACACAGCACCTTTGGGTATACAGGACGATGCTCCAATCAACTGAGCCACATCAGAATTTCTAGGGAAAGTTTCAAGCAGAAGATACTGCATAATTTGTGCAGGGAGAAGATGTACTTGAATTTCCTCTGGTGAGGTTTCAGGCTTTTAAAAAATGAAAATATTAGATTTTAAAAACCGTATTTCTATTGGATTATTTATTCCTTGTCAGTTTTATAACTAGAATACCATAAATATAGTGACAATCAAGAAAAGAATGTCTTAATATAGGAAGATTAAATTTATTATGAAAATTAGATATAATTAATATTTCAATTGGTCAAGCTACATTCTGTATATGCATGTACGTGTGTGTGTGTATACATTTAAAAGCAATAATCATATTCTCTTTGCAACCCTAAACCTGAAAAGAACAATTGATACTTTAGCCTCCTTCTCTATGGGCAGGCAATTTAAGACTTTCCAGTAGCACAACAAAGCCAGGAGGGGTAGACCAGTAACTAACATCCACTGAGCTTCCAATGCACAAGCCACTTCACATATGATTAGCCACGGTGACACGCCCATGAGGCAGGTACTACATCATCTTGACTTTACAGATGAGGAAAATAAGGCTAAGGCAAAGAAGTTAAATAATTTGTCTGACGTTATTCATCTACATCATCCTGATCGCCCGCAGGGGAGATCAATATCTAGTGGTGCTGTGAAAGAGCCTGTACTTAACATCAAAGAGAACCAAATGACTGTTTAAAAAATATTGAGACATTTAGAAGAAACCATCATTTCCTTGGCTAAAGAAACACATTCTCCCCGAAGCCGGTTTGGCTCAGTGGTAGAACGTCGGTCTGCAGACTGAAAGGTCCCAGGTTCGATTCCGGTCAAGGGCATGTACATTGGTTGCGGGCACATCCCCAGTAGGAGGTGTGCAAGAGGCAGCTGGTCGATGTTTCTCTCTCATCAACGTTTCTAGCTCTCTATCTCGTTCCCTTCCTCTCTGTAAAAAATCAATAAAATATATATTTTTTAAAAAAAGAAAGAAACACATTCTCAAAAAACTTTTTAAAGGGTTTAAAATTTTAATCTAGAGTTATGGATATAATCTTCAGATATCTTTCCATAACTTATGCCCAGGTGCTGTAAACTTGGCAGTGCTAAAAGCAAAGTAACTCAATCCCTGAAACAATTCCTATGAAACATTTATATGTAAATAAATCTCAAAGCAAACATACTGCATACATTTTGACAAATATCCAATTCTGAACCTCTTCCACTCATCTCAAAGGCCATATAACAGCCCTAAACCCCACTACATATAACTCCAGAACACCAATGCCTTAAAAGTGTGGGAGACATGAAGCAAGACTTCTAAAAACTGGTAAATTGAAAAGTGACAATTGAAGCAGAAAAGAAAGGAAACAACAGTATCATCAACCACCTCAATAGCTGCAGAAGGCATAACTTATGTAAAATAACTGATGCTCATAATGACAATACTGAGTCCACAGGAAAAGGTTCAAGTATACTGGATATACTTAAATAAGTTTCTAACTCATTTATAAAAGAAGTGTATCAAAATAATTTTGTGTTCTATAAGTAATTAATGGCCTTAACTTTGATTATATGGTAAATTTCCTTTAGTGGAGTTTTTTTTTTATTCTAAAAAAATATTGTGGCAGTCTTTTAAATCTATGTGATACTTTGTTTTCAACACTTTAAATTTTTATAAATATTGATAACATGGTTTGTGACAAGGTATATCAAAATGGTGAGTTGTGCGTTGGTGGTATAGTGGTGAGCATAGCTGCCTTCCAAATGGTGAGTTGTCAAGATGTCAGAAAATGAATGAATCTAATAAAGGAAAAATGCTTTTGACTATGGCCTTGTTTTAAAACTACAATTCAGAAGTCTCACTAGGAAACTAAAACTGACAAAACTATGATTAGCAGAGAATTCTGAAGATAAAAAATTAGAATTTCAAGTCGTCAAATTATTTAACCTTCCATTTTCAAAAAATATAAAGAGAAAGGACCTGATCCTTGATTACCTAACACAACAAACAGGTCCCTATACACTTCTACTGCAGAGAGATGGACTAAACATAGACAAAATAGAAATATTAATATATCTCATTTTTAAGAATTAATCTGGCTCATCATATTGTCATTATAACAACACTTTTTCTAAGCAGTCAGCAGATTTTTCTAATATTGATTTGCAGCTATTTTTAACTTTTAAGATAACTAGGCAACTTTCTACACTCTAAAGTTAAGACAAATTTTTTTTAATTTCTGAAAATTGACTACATTAAAAGCATTATAAAGATCACAGACTCAAGAAGTTAATATATTTATCAGGCCTCATGCACACTGCATTAAATGTTGTGATCAATCTTAAATTAAATGCATCAGTTCTTATAATGTTACTTTTTTTCCAATTCCAATGATATTATTACTTAAGGACTATAATCGAATGAAAGAAGTAGGCCTAAGTAAACTGTTGTTTTTTTAATACTTTCTTCAGATACTAGAGGCCCAATGCATGAAATTCATGCAAGAGTAGGCCTTCCTTCGACGGCTGCCATATAGGACCCGTGCATCCCTCACAGCCCTGGCTTCATCTGGAAGGTAGTTCAGTCTAATTAGCATATCATGCTTTTATTATTATAGATAAGTCAGTCATTCTTTAGCACCTTAACTTCTTATATCTATTTTTAAGGAACCTTCCCTTCTCCTGATTTCTAATGCCCATGTTTTTTTGGTGCCATTTTCTTTAAAAAAAAAAAATGTAGCACCTTTATAAAACTATGTAACACTTATTTGCCTTGGAATCTTCTAGAATTAGGATGTGCCAAGTGTTAGGGAAACATGGGATAGATCAGAATCTGCCCATCATCTTAACTGACTCAGGAAGTAAACCACATGAGGATGTTATCCCTAACTTACATAATTTTATACTCCAGGTCAATATCTGCACTAAATACTTTTATCTCTGGGAAGATATTTCTGTATTTTATATTTTCCCCATTTCTACTTCAAAGTATTTTTACACAAAGTAAAAACATTTTTCACAAGAATTCCACTCCCAAATCTAGTTCCTCTACTTTTGAGAAGAAAAACTGGAAATTTCACCAATACCTTACTTAACTAACTTACTTAGTTATTACTTACCTACTTACTGTTATTCATGGTACTTTTTAATTCCCTAAACTTTACAATTCCCTGCCATATTAACCTGTATTTCTTCATTATCTTCCTCCTCCCTTTTTAATCCATTTATTTGTTCCTAAAACAAGATGCTGAAAGTAGGAAATATAGCTAATAAAAGTAACATAACAATTATAAATTGCCAAGTTTTTGTCAACTTCACATATAAATACAACTATCTCAACAGTTTCTTACTATGTTCTTTGCTCTTTTTTCCTTACACATTATGTATTGTTATAATGGCATTATTTTCCCAGTAAAGTGTTAATACAGCTTTAGGTGGAACAAAAAGAGACCATTTAAAAAATATTCTGCTTCCAAAAATAAATATATCTTACCTTTACAGCCTGAACACTGAATAAAAAAGTTGATGAGGTCAAGAAGTGCTATATCTCGGTCATGCTTGTATGACTCTATCCAATCATCTACCACCGACTATAGTAAAGAGGGGAAAAAACATTAGCTTTTTCTAATGTTCTAAAAATTAAGTTGGATTTTAGTCATTAAAATTCAACATTAAGTGGTATCATATTACTACTTCAAATTAACAAATACATACTTGTGCATAAAAATTTTTAAGTTAAATTTGAATCATAAAATTGAATCAAATTCAGTAAAATTATCACCTGATAAAGAAAGCATAATTACTTTTTTATTTCTTAGCGACATTATTGAAGATATCCTAGAAAATATTAAAAGTAACACATATATTTCTTTTTTACTAAAATATTATACTAAATATTAACATACAATTGAATGAAAATATTTTTTAAAGGAGTAATGCCTCGGTCAATGAGGAAATGAACAAAATATTTTTTTCAACAGTGAGCCCTGATAATCCTGTATTAATAAGAAGGGTAAACTGAAGATTAAATAACAAAAGACTAAAGAAAGGACAGACAGTTCATGGATCTTGAGACTTAATATTTTTAGACGATAATACTCTCCAAATTGATCTAAGGACTCAAAGCAATCTCTATCAAAATCCCAGCTGGTTTCGTAGTAGAAAATGAAAAGCTGATCCTAAAATTATTATGGTAAGGCAAGAAATGCAGAACATCCAAAACAATCTTGAAAAAGAACAAAATTAGAAGAATCACACTTCATGACCTGAAAACTTACTACAACGCTACAGTAATCAAATTATAGTACTAAAGTAAGGATAAATATGTAGATCCAATGTAATAAAACTGAGGGTCCAGAAATAAAATCTTACACTCAGGGTCATTTAATTTTTGACAAATACGCCAGACAAATCAATGGAGAAAGACTAGTCTTTTCAAACAATGGTGCTGGGATAACTGGATATCCATATGCAAAAGAATGAAGCTGGAACTTAGTTCACACCATATATTAAAAACCCTAAAACACAGAAGTAAATCTTCATAACTATGCATTAAAGGAAAGCCTTCTTAGATATTAGACCAAAAGCACAAGAGACAAAAGAAAAAATTAATTAGATTTATTCATAATTAACTTTTTGTGCTTCAAAAGGACTCCAAAGCAAAGTAGTATAAAAGAGAATCTCCAGAATGGGGGGAAATATAAGGTGTCCTCCAAAAATGTACACACACTTTAACAAATGAAAATGAAATATATTTTAATAAGCGCTGCCTTTGTAATTATTCAAAGTGCGTGTATACATTCTTTTGGGACACTCTATATTTGCAAATCAAGGGGGAATAGGAAAGAGGTAGAAGAAGTTAAAGGAGGGGATAAATGGTGATGGAATGGTGTGTTCATTTGGGGTGGTGAACACACAATACATTATACAGATCATGTGTTGTAAGAACACCTGAAACCTATGCTTTTATTAACCAATGTCATTCCAATAAATTCAACAAAAATACCTGCAAATCATATATCTGATAAGGTATTTTTTCGTAAAATATATAAAGAACACTTACAATTCATTTTAAAAAGGCAAATAACCCAATTAAAAATCTAAGCAACAGTACTCAATCGACAGTTCTATATAGAAGATATACAAATGTATATTAGAACATGAAAAGATGTGCAGTGTAACTGGCCATCAAGGAAATGGAAATCAAAACCATAATAAGATACTGCCGATCCCTAGCCAGTCTGGCTCCGTGGATAGAGCGTTGGCCTGCGAAATGAAAGGTTCCAGGTTCAATTACCGTCTCAAGGGCATATGCTCGGGTTGTGGGCTCCATCCCCAGTGGGGGACTTGCAGGAGGCAGCCAATCCATGATTCTCTCTCATCATGGATGTTTCTCTCTCCCTCTTCCTTCCTCTCTGAAATCAATAAAAATATATATTAAAAAAAACAACAACAACAACAACACCACAAATGGATTATTAAAAAAAAAAAAAAAAAAAAAAAGATACTGCCAGGCCAGAGTGACACAGTTGATTGAGCATCATCCTGTGCACCTAAAGGTTGCCGGTTCAATTCCTGGTTAGGACCATACCTGAGTTATGGGTTTAATCCCCACTCGGGAAGCATGTGGAAGGCAATCAACCAATCAATGTTTTTCTCTCTCTCAGGTGAAGATTTACAAAGAAAATACTAAATTGAGATATATTTAAATGGGGTCCAATAAAGTAACATTTTAAAAATAAATTTTTTTAAAAGTCACAACTTCACACCCACTATGATAGCTATAATAAAAAATAAAGATAATAACAAATGTTGGCAAGGAAAAAGTAGAATGCTAAAACATGGCTAGTAAGAACATAAAACGCTGCTGCCACTTTGGACAAACAGTTTGGCAGCTCCTCCAAAACAAAGTTACTATATTGACCCTGCAACTCAAATCTTAAGGTATATACTAGTATTACCCAAGAGAAATGAAAACATGTCCCAAAAAAAATCTTTTACAAGAATACTCTTAATAGCCAAAAAGTGGAAACAAACCAAATGTGCATCAAGGAATAAATTAACATATGACATATTCATACAATGGAATATTTGGCAATAAAAAAAGAACAAATTTATAATATATACAACATGGATGAACCTTGAAAACATTATCCTAAGTCAAAGAAAACACTGAAAAAGGACCATTTAATGCATGATCCCATATATATGATAGACAAATTTATAGGAAGTAGATTAGTGATTGCTTAGACCTGTGGCAGGTGAGGAGAAAGTGAATGCTAATGGGCAAAGAGTTTCTTTCTGAGGTACTGAAAAATATTCTAAAATTAGATTGTAGTGATAGCAGAACAACTCTGAACATACTAAAAACCATTGAATTTACACTTTTAAAAAGGGTGAATTTTATGGTATGTAAAGTATATCTCAAATTAGTAACTTTTTAAAATTAGGCCCAAACTAAAAAATAAAAGCAGTACTTGATCCCCCTGGGGACAGAAAAGTAAACCACAAAACAATTAAAAACAATTTTTAAAAACATATTTCTATTGATTTCACAGAGGAAGGGAGAGGGAGAGATAGAAACAATAATAAGAAAGAATCAGCCGAGACTGGTTTGGCTCAATGGATACAGCGTTGGCTTGGGGACTGAAAGGTCCCGGGTTCGATTCCGGTCAAGGGCATGTACCTTGGTTGCGGGCATATCCCCAGTAGGGGGTGTGCAAGAGGCAGCTGATCGATGACTCTCTCTCATCGATGTTTCTAACTCTCTATCTCTCTCCCTTCCTCTCTACAAAAATCAATAAAAAAAATTAAAAAAAAAGAAAGAATCATCCATGGGCTGCCTCCTGCACGCCCCCTACTGTGGATTGAGCCTGCAACCCAGGCTTGTGTCCTTGATGGGCACTTTGGACCTTTCAGACTGCAGGCTAATGTTCTATCCACTGAGCCAAACTGGCTGGGACTAAAAACAATTTTTAAATAAATCAAATTTTAAAAATTAGGATGATAAATAAAAGCTAATGTAAAGAATTAAAGTCTGGAGGGGAAAATGTTTAAAGCTATATATAAAAATTGTAAATATGAAAATTTGGTACAAAATGAATGAACAAAATATGTACAAAAATAAATATGATTACACAATATTAAAAAAAAAGAAAAAGAATATTATCTCCCTGACTTAGAGAAATTGACTGGAGATATTCTAAAACTAAACTTACTTTCTAGATTTCAGTCCTTTTCTATGTTTTACAACAGCATGTTTATGTTAACCAACTAAATTTATAAAAGAAACGTATTTAAGATTATTCCAAATATGATACGGGACATAAACAAACAGAATGCATTATGCGACTATGAGAGTTTTTAAAGCATGGCTCTAAACAGTTTAACATTCTTCCCCAAGAAGTCATGTCCTCTAAAACAGTGCAGGAAAAATAATGGTGCTTCCAAGATTAGGGGACAGAAGGCCATTCAACTTCTGCGTTGGGTTCTTGAAGCACCAGAGAACTAGATACTCCTTCCTGCACAGGATACTCTCTCCAAACTCAGAAGCCACATGGAAGGACCAGTTGTAGGTCTTCCAGGAACAGTTCCAGCTGAGTCCAGTCTTCAAGTCATTGCAGACTAGGCACCAAACATGGATAAAGAAGTCTCCAGATTATTATAGTCCTTAACTGTTTATGCCACCTCCAGGCAATCAAGCTGTATCAGCTAAGGCCCCAGCCATAATGGATAGGAACACAGATGAGCCATCCCTATTTAGTTCTGTCTATATTCTAGGCCCACAGAATCAATAAACATAATAAAATGTTTGTTCTTTTATATCACTAACTTTGGGATAGCTTGTTATGCAGCAATAAATAAATGGGACGGGGGTTATTTACATTAATAAAGATACAAAAATATTTAATGAAATCTTACAAAAAGATAGCCACATCACATTCAAAGGTTATTCATGAAGATCAAGTAGAGTTTATACTAGAAATACGGTTCAAAGCTGCTATAATCAAAATACAAGCTTATCACATTGAAATACATTTTAAGATTTTAATCATCAAATAGTTATGTTAAGAACTTATTTTTTTAACTTATTCAAAAAAATTCAATATCTATAAATAAAACTCAACAGAACTAAGGGCATATTCATGGTTCCTTCTTTCTTAAAATGCAAGAGCTAGCTTAAAACCAACAGCCAATCTTGTACTTATTCGATCTCACAATTACTAAAATAGATATATCTTGGGGACACAAAAAATGAATAATACACATTACCTGATCAAGGAATTAACAATATAGAAGCAAATTCAGACATATGCATAACTGTAACATTATATACCAAATGCTATAATGAAAAGGGAAGAGTAAGAAATACATTCAATGAGAATAGGAGAAGGAGACAGAGCCCAAGAATGCTCTTCTAGAGTGACATTTGGTTTAGTCAATCCTATGTGATATAGAAAGAAGGAAGGGGGCTAGTTCGGGCAAAGAGAAAAATAAGAAGAAAGGTCTGGGGGCAGAATACATATTGTGGCTGGAGAATAGCGAGTATCCCAAAAGGAAATCTGAGCTGGAACCATTAGATAAGGAAGAACTCTTAAAAGTTTGTAAACAGGAGACTTCCTTGATCAAATTTGGTGTTCGATAATGCAAGTAGAAATATACAAAAAATAAGCACACAAAGTAAACTGGAGGTGGACAGAGGATTCGGGGGAATCAATGTAGAGATAGTATGGATATTCTACTTTTAAAAGGGAAAGCACATTTAGAAACAGAAAAAACATGGCTTAGAGGTATAATCTTAATATATGACAATCCATAAGCAACACTAAAATAAGAAAAACGTTCATTCTTTAAATGTTGATACTACTAACGAAAAGAATTAAATATAAAGCTAAACCCTCACATTTCATACTAAAACTTTTTGATAAGACAAAAACCCTACAGAATGGACAAAAATAGAAAAACCTAATTAGAACAGATAAAGTTGAGATTTCTTATATTAACAAAAATAAACAAATATTACAGAGAAAAAGTATAATATAAAAAGGAAAGTAATTAAATGATATAATATAAATAAGATAATTTATCCCTTACATAAAATTAACCCAAAATGGGAACTAAGGAAAAGAAGATAATTTTTTAAATTAGGAAATGACTAACTATAGTATAGTAACATAGATATTCTTTTTTTAAAATATCGAATGTGCATCCAAAATCTTTCAAAATATTAAACAAGAAATCAAATTCCCACCCTAATCACAAACATATGAAAGCAAACCATATGTAAATAAATAAAGATAAATTCAAATGTAAGGAAATACAATGTTCTGTACAACTGGTGATAGCTTAAAAATAACTCTTTATCATTTTACATGGAAAAATGATCTTTATTAGTCCCAATTAATAATTTAAAAATTCATTTACAAAACTGCACATAATATTTAGATAAGCCCATATTAATAAATAAGATTTATATTTTAGTTATATAATTAGCAAAAAGATTAGATGGCTAATTCTCCCTAACCCATCCAGGTGTGCCTTTTATTGATTTGTGAAGGAAAAAAAAAACTATTCACTATAGCTTCATAAATGAAATAACTTTATTATTAAACATGTATATTCTTTGAGTAGTTTTTATTCAATATTTAAAAACCATATGGGTTTATCATCTATTCTAAAACCTAAATGCTACTGTCTTAAGATTGTGAAGAAACAAAATTAGGATGATTTGACATGGATATAACTTTTTACTCTCCTGTTAAGAAACAACACAAATAATCAAATTTGGAATAGACAAGTAATCAAAATAATTCAATTCACTAAAAAGGATAGTGGTTATGTCATTCAACCAAGAATTCTATATGGGCAAAGGACTTTATATTTTGATAGCAGCTATATAAATTCACGTAAAATTGAAACTTCATAATCAGGGTTTATATCAGCATATTTTTGACCAAATAATTCTTATATGCCAATAAAAGAAAATAATGCAGTAGAAAATTATGTAAAGCACAGCTTAACAGTCTTATGTATGAATACATATCCCTAGTTTTCTAATTTGTTGGTTTTTTTTTCGAATGATCAGTATTAGAATTTTTTAAACACAATCTGAAAAACCAGAGATATATGTTATGTAACTTACTAAGAGAAGAACATGATGAACATTACCTGCATAGCACTCTTGCCCATTTTAACAACTTCAAACAACATCATGTTTTCCACTCCATTCTGTTGGTGATGACCATTCATTCGGTTTGGACCAGAAGGAGGTTTTCCTCCATTTCCACTTTTGCCCTTTTCTGCTGGGCCCTTTTTGCCTTTTTTACAAGTCTGCACAAAAACACAGGTTGGTTAAGTTATATTGCTGTTTTGAGAGTTCGAATTAAAACTAAAGAAGCAGCTGAAACCGGTTTGGCTCAGGGGATAAAGCGTCGGCCTGCGGACTGAAGGGTCCCGGTTCGATTCTGGTCAAGGGCATGTACTTTGGATGCAGGCAAATCCCCAGTAGGGGGTGTGCAGGAGGCAGTTGATCGATGATTCTCTCTCATCGATGTTTCTAACTCTCTATCCCTCTCTCTTCCTCTCTGTAAAACTAAAGAAGCAGACCTAGCAAGCATGGCTCGGTGGTTGAGCATCAACCCATGAACCAGATGATCATGGTTCAATTCCTGGTCAGTGAACATGCACAAGGTTTCAGCTCAATACCCAGTGTGGGGTATGCAGGAAGCAGTCAATCAATGATCTTCTCTCATCATTGATGTTTCTCTCTCCCTCTCCCTTTCTCCATTCCTCTCTGAAATCAATAAAAGTATATATTTAAAAAAAAAAAACTAAAGAAGCAGCTGATGGGATATATAATCATGCTTAAACCTAAAGGGGAATGCCATACATGTCATATAAAATAATATGGTGTGCCCTATCTGGTTTGGCTAAGTGGATAAAGCGTCAGCCTAAGGACAGAAGGGTCCCAGGTTTGATTCCGCTCAAGGGCACATGCCCAGGTTGTAGGCCCAATACTCAGTGATGGTGGTGATGGTGGTGGTGGTGGGGGGGAGAGTAATGCAGGAGGCAGCAGATTGATGATTCTCCTGTCACTGATGTTTTTATCTCTCTCTCTCCGTTCTTCTCTAAAATCAATATATTAAAAAATTTTTAAATTATATGGTGCGATAACCTCTTTGTGGTATCAATTGTTTCATTTATACTGCCATGCATCTCACATGACATTGTGAACACTCACAAGCTTCCTAAGGCCAAACTACTACTCCTATTAGCCGAGTTATTATCTTAGGCAAGTTACTTAACCAGGCTGTGCTTCAGAGAGATTTCTAAAATGCAAAGTGAGAATAAAACTGTGCCTACTTCATAGGGGTTGCTGCTTTATCAAATAAGCAACTCATATTTAGTTTAGCATTTTAGCTTGATACCTATTGTTAGTCCTTATAAATCATTAGAGGCACTGACAAAGGAATTCCAAACAGCATAAAAATAGGTGTGTATCAACCTCATTCTTGACTGGGCTCTCCCTGACACTTATTTATCATGAAAATTCAATTTATGTGAACACAATAAAAATGAAGCCCCTCTGTAAAAAAAAAAAAATCATCAATATTGGGGGTGAGGGCTCCATAAAAATCAGTGAAAAGGTTGCCTATATGCCTGAGTAAAAAAAATACCTCCCACAGCTCTTTATACCTTGTAGAAAAACAAGACATTCCCAAACAGTTCGTATTTCTAAAATGCCAGAGTTGCACTAAAATCTTTACAGATTAAACTAGAGACTTTCTAATGTCTATTTTCGACCAACACATTTCTGTGACCTAGACCAAGGGTTGGTAACCTTTCTGTAAAGGACCAGATAGGAAATATATTATTTATTTTTACAAACTTTGAAAAATGTAAAAAAAATAAGTCTTAACTCATGGGCAGTACAAAAACAGGCCATAGTTTGCTGACCCCTTATCTACAGCCAGGTCTACAAATTTATTTCCACTGATGATGAGCTGTATGCTTTACTACTTTGCTTAATAAAAGGTCCTTCTTCCTTTAAGAGTCCAAAAACACACTACTCTTAACTACTTCATAAACCTTACTAACAATTGAAAGATATTACTGGTTAACTTACATTATTTTGTTAATGATATGCAGTCTTTGTGAACCCAAGTAATTAATTCTTAATTGTAGAACGAGAGGCTTTTGTCCCCAGTAAAAGGAATTTCAAAGATAAGGGTGAAAGAAAAGATCAACTACAAAGAATACACTAGAAAAATATAAAATGTTAAATGTTAATTAACATGGAGCTATATATTTGCAATTTATCTATCATATGCCTCAATATTCCCTGTTGTTATGAAAAACTAATTAGTACATTTGAAATGGCTCAGTGAATAAGCTGAGTTATGAAAAAATAATGTGCACAGAGTGATAATACAGGAAAGCACAAGAAGTAAACATGCTCACCCAATTTCAATTATATTTCTAGCAGATATGACAAAAAGAATAATTACCTGCTCTTTTGATCCAAAATGCCTTTTTAAAATATCAGGTGCTTATACTTGTATACAAGGATTTTTGGTACCAAGAATTAACCAATCAAACATAACATAATGTTATTAAACATGACCAATAAATTTCAACCCTATTATATGATCTATACTAGAGGCCTGGTGCATGAAAATTCATGCACTTGTGGGTCCCTCAGCCCAGCCTGCACTGTACGCTCTCGCAGTCTGTGAGCCCTCGGGGGATGTCCAACTGGCAACTGGCAGTCGGACATCCTTAGCACTGCTGTGGAGGCAGGAGAGGCTCGCTCCCACCATCACCACTGCGCTCACCAGCCGTGCGCCAGGCTCAAGGCTTCTGGCTGAGTGGCACTCCCTCTGTGGAAGCGCAGTGACCACCAGGGGGCAGCTCCTGCATTGAGCGTCTGCCCCCTGGTGGTCAGTGAGCATCACAGCAACCGGTCATTCCGCTGTTCGTTGGATTTGCATATTAGCCTTTTATTCTATAGGATATTTATGGTTCAAGATAGGGCATTCACACTGGACAGCTATTGTTGTTTTTGCTGGTGTGTGTGTGTGTGTGTGTGTGTGTGTGTGTGTTTATAATCTAAGGGAAAGGGGGTCAATGTCCCCAACTAGTTGGGCATTGCATGTTTTAAAAATTCTGTAGCATATCAATTGAAAATCACTGCTATGGTGGACTTAAGCACCATCTTTCAACAGATATATGCTCAAATTCTTTAACCACTAAGTTCTCTGGACCTTAGTTTCCTATCTATAAAATAAAGAAGTTTTCTAATCCAAAAAGTTGTTCAAATATTAAATTAGATAATATGTAAATATATTACCAGAGTGCATGGAACATACATAATATAGTGCAAAACATTAAAATTGGTTATTTATTATAATCCCTGATCTGACCAATTACAACTCACTCATAGCAGTAGGTATACAAAGTTAACAAAACAAAAGCACAAAAACTTTGGGGAGTCCTCTATGCAGTTGCCATTCTGAGTCTTAACCCAATGTGCAAATTAAATCAAAGTCAAAAGTAGAGTTTCAGATTTGCAAGATGGTTCCAAGCAAAAATGTGTTTTTTAAAAATACATTTTTTATCAATATATCAAAGAAAAGGGGAAAGGGAAAGAGAGATACAACATCAATAATGAGAGATAATCATTGATTGGTTGCCTCCTGAATATCCCACACTGGGGATTAAGACCTCAACCTGGGAATGTGTGCTGACGAGGAATCAAACCGTGACCTCCTGGTTCATGGGTCAACACTCAACCATTGAGCCACGCTATCAGGGCCAAAATAGTTTTCCAAAGAATAACCATACTACCCACTAGAATTATGGCTGTCTTTGGAAAATCTTGAGTTAAATTTTTATTCCTTCACACTTTTTCTCTCTCAAAACTTCTACTTTTAAGGGATTACAACAGCATATGAAATTATGAAAAAATGAATTATGTGCACTTTAAAATAGTATTCTGACCTAGCCAGTTTGACTCAATTGTTAAAGCATTGGCCATGGACTGAAGATTACCAAATAGATTCTAATCATGGGCACATATCTTGGTTGCAGGCTTGATTCCCAGCTGTGGTTGGGGAGCATGTGGAAGGCAACCAATCCATGAATCTTTCTCTCATCAATATTTCTGTGTGTCTCTCTCCCCCTACCCTTCCACTCTCTCTAAAGATAAATGGAGGGAAATATCCTCAGCTGAGGAGTACCAAAACAAACAAACAAAAACATTAAATAGTATTCTATGAACTAGTTAAAAATTATGTCCATATATAAAATGGGATGCTATGGCCCCGCTGGAGTAGCTCAGTGTTTGAGCATCAACCTATGAACCAGGAGGTCACAGCTCAATCCCCAGTAATAGGTGCCCAGGAGGCTACTAATTAATAATTCTCTCATCACTGATGTTTCTATCTCTTTCTTCCTCTTCCTTCCTCTCTGAAATCAATAAAAATATTTTTCTAAATGGGATGCTATGACATCATTAAAAATTACAAATTCACCATAGAAAAGCTGCGGACAAATACCATTAGGTTTTAAAAGCAGATTAAACAGTTTGCATAGTATCTGTATATATAAAAGCCTAATATGCTAAGTGTCTGACCATTCAACCAGTCGCTATGATGAGCAATGACCACCAGGGGGCAGATTATCCGACCGGTAGTTAGCTTAAGGCTGGGGTCTGGCCAATCGGGTCTGGATGAGACAGGCTGGACATGCCCTAGAGCCTGCCCGCAGTCCCTCCCCAGCCCTGATCATGCACTCATGGGATCCCTAGCCTGGCCTGCACCCACTCATAATCTGGGACCCCTCGGGGGATATTGGAGAGCTGGTTTTGGCCCAATTCCTGCAGGTCAGGTCGAGGGACCCCCACCGGTGTACAAATCCATGCACTGGAACTCTAGTGAATTAAGTAAAATTCTATGTTCATGTTTATACAAAGGTTATTATATATAAAAGTATGTTCACCAAAAATTTTAAAGAATTACTGCTCTATATGGTTTGTCTTCATGGATAGAACATTGACCTCAGGACTGAAGGGTTCTAAGTTTGATTACAGTCAAGGGCACATGCCCAGGTTGTAGGCTCAATCTCCATTGGGGGTGTGCAGGAGGCAGTTGATAAGTGATTCTCTCTCATCATTGATGTTTCTATCTCTCTCTCCCTCTCCCTCGCTGAAATCAATAAAAATATATTCAAAAAATTATTTAAAAATAATAAATTACCGTCCAGTTGGAGTGGCTTAGTGGTTGAGCATCAACCTATGATCCAGGAGGTCATAGTTCGATTCCCAGTCCGGACACATGCCTGGGTTGCAGGCTCAATTCCTTGCAGGAGGCAGCCAATCAATGACTTTCATCATTAAAGTTTCTCTCCCTCTTCCTTCCTCTCTGAAATCAATAAAAAAAAATTTTTTAAAAAGGAATAAATTACCCCTGGATGATGTTTATAGGAATTTTTTGCTTTGTACATTATACATTTCTGTATTAAGCTTTTTAAAAGTAAATGTGTCATGAGAAAGTAAAAATCCAAAAATCATCTTTCTTAAAAAAAAAAAATGCTGATGCCTGGCTAGTTTGGCTCAGTGGTTGAGCTTCAACCTATGGACCAGGAGGTCACTTTTTGATAACTGTTCAGGGCACATGCCTGGGTTATGGGCTCCATCCTCAGTAGGGGGTGTGCAAGAGGCAGCCAATCAATGATTCTCTCTCATCATTGATATTTCTATCTATCCCTTCCTCTCTGAAATCAATAAACATATAAATAAGTCATATTTTACACAGTGTATTTACAGACATGCACAGAGTCAAATGTACTTTCTAAAATAGCAAAATGATTTAACCATTAGCAAAGTTATCCAGAACACTCAGGGTACCCACTCATATTCTAAACTTGTATCCTATTGACTCAGAATGTCACTTAACATTGCTTTTACTGGTTATAACTACTGTCCACTTTAATCTATTAGATATAAACTGATTATAGGTTAAATTTTGTGTGCTTTAGAATAAGAAATTTACTGCTTTGAATTTGACTACTCATGTGTAAATAAAAATAAAGCCAACAGAGTATCATATTTAGCTTAGCACAATGTGCTTTACAAAATGAACTACTAGAAACAACAATGTATTATTAATTTCTACTTTACAGTAGTGAAAATAGATAATCAAAAGATACTTGATCTAGGCAGAAGCCCAAAAACCACGTGTTCAGAAGGCTTACCATACCAATCAGGAAAAAAAGGCATTTTTAAGAGACAATAACATCTGAGATATAACTAATACATATATATGAAAAACCTTAAAAATCAAAACAAAGTCACATATTCTGTACATACTTTTCCTTTGCCTTGCTTTTGGTTTTTTCCTTCAATGTCTTCAAAATCTGTGTCAGAAGAAAAATGTGTTTCTGACTCCCTGTGACAGAAAGATAAGCAATCATTTAAAAGTGTCCTTAGAAATATAGATGGAGTTTCTAACTTTGGCCATATTTTCTCAAAGAAAGGTTGGGTTAACTTATTATAAAACTCCATCATTAGCATTAAATGTAATTAAGATGATTTTCCAAATCATATCTTAGCACATTACCAAACATGTAAAATTACGTAACTTGCCCTAGCCAGTTTGGCTCACTGTATAGAGCGTCTGCCTGCAAAAAAGTCCTGGGTTCGATTTTGGTCAAGGTCATGTACCTTGTTTGCAGGCTCAATCCCCGGTCAGCATACATGTGCAAGGCACCAATCAATGTATCTTTCTTAACATGGTTGTTTATCTGTCTCTCCCTTACTCTTCCACTTTCTCTAAAAATCAATGGAAAAATATCCTTGATGCTCTAGCTGGTTTGGCTCAGTAGATAGAGCACTGGCCTTCGGAATGAAAGGTCCCAGATTCAATTCCAATCCAGCGCACATGCCCATGTTTCAGGCTCAATCCCCAGTGGGGGTGAGCAGGAGGCAGCCAATCAATGATTCTCTTTCATAACTGATGTTCCTTTCTCTCCCTCTCCCTTGCTCTCTGAAGTCAATAAAAATACATTTAAAAAAAAAAAAAAAAAGGAAAAAAAATCCTCAGGTAAGGGTTAACACACACAAAAAAAATTATATAACTAGTCCTAGCCAATTTGGCTCAGTGGATAGAGTGTCAGTCTGCAGACGGAAGGGTCCCAGGTTCAATTCTGGTCAAGGGCACATGCGTAGGCTATGGGCTCAATCCCCAGTGGGGACAGGGGTGAGGCGTCGGTGTGCAGGAGGCAGCCAATCAATGATTTTCTCTCATCATTGATGTTTCTATCTTTCTCTCCCTTCAGCTCTGAAATCAATAAAAAAAGATTTTTTAAAATTACATAACTTGCCGAAACTGATTTGACTCAATGGATAGAGTGTCGGCCTGTGGACTGAAAGGTCCCAGGTTTGATTCCGGTCAAGGGCATGTACCTTGGATGCAGGCACATCCCCAAGGAAGTGGGGGGATGGGGGGTGCAAGAGGCAGCTGATCGATGATTCTCTCTCATCGATGTTTCTAACTCTCTATCCCTCTATTTTCCTCTCTGTAAATAATCAATAAAATATATATATTTTTAAAGTTATATAACTAACTACAAAAACAATAATCTGAAACACCAATGTCTAAACATTTATTTTATTAATTTTTTACCAAAACCAGTGGCTCTCAAAACTTTAACCCTAGAAACTATGGTGCTGTTATGATGGCTGTTTTCATTCATTCTCTGATTCAAATACCATGGTGCTCAAGAAAACTATATTTTTTTATTTCTATTTATTATTTGTTAATGGTCATCTGAGGATATTCATTTCCATTGCTTTTTAGAAAGGGTGTTGTGCTCTAACCGGTTTGGCTCAGTGGATAGAGCGTTGGCCAGAAGACTCAAGGGTCCCAGGTTCGATTCCAGTCAAGGGCATGTACCTTGGTTGCAGGCACATACCTAGTGGGGAGTGTGCAGGAGGCAGCTGATCGATGTTTCTAACTATCCCTCTCCGTTCCTCTCTGTAAAAATATATATATATATATATTTTTTAAAGGGTGGTAGAAGGAGGGATGGGGAAGGGGAGGGGTAGGGAGAGTAAAAAGAGAGGAAAGGGTAAGACAATAGAGGGAGGGAGAGAGGGAAAGAGGGAGGGAGAGACATAGATGTGAGAGAAACATGGATTGGTTGCTTCCCCCACGTGCCCCATCAGGGCCAGAATGTAATCTGTACACAGGTAGGTATGTGACCTTGACCCAGAAAGAGACTCACGACCCTTTGGTTAACAGGCTGACATTCTAACTACTGAATCACACTGGTCAGGGTAGGAAAACTGTATTTTAACACTAGGCATTGACTGAATTTTATTACAAAATTTTAGCAATATTAAAGATCCTCTTTCTCTACTACTTCACTCAGAAATACTTAGAAATCTAGGTGTAGCTATACAAAGCATGTATTTCTGAAAGAATCCTATATAATAAAAGGGTAATATGCAAATTCACCCTAAAGGCCAAATGATCAAAACAACTGGTCACTATGATGCACACTGACTACCAGGAGGCAGATGCTCAACACAGGAGCTTCCCCCTGGTGGTCAGGGCGCTCCCACGGGGGGGGGGGGGGGGGGGGGGCTCTGCTCAGCCACAAGCCAGGCAGAAGGCTGAGAGCACAGCAATGGTGGCAGGAGCCTCTCCAGGATCCTCAGGCTACCAGAGGGATGTCTACCTGCCAGTTTAGGGCCCAATCCCCTGGGGATCGGGCCTAAGCCAGCAGGTAGACATCCCCCAAGGAGTCTGCGAGAGGGCACAGGACTGAAGGGCCCAAGTTCAATTCCAGTCAAGGGTACATGCCTGGGCTGTGGGCTAAGGGGACCCCCGCCCCCCAATGCCAATGCACAGATTTTCATGCACCAGGCCTCTAATATATGAATAAAACACTTTGAAACATAGTAGGGAAGTGCTAATTGACCAAAATCCTTTATGAAGACGTGGTAAGCTATTGGCAGAAAAACTGGTTCAAAGAATTGTGCCTTACTTTGGAGTAGAAGGGGTGATTTTGTATAATCTGGATATTCTTACACATATGGAAACAAAGTAATTTAAATTTACATGTGATACTTCCTTGTTAACATGGATCTAAATAATAGTAGCATGCCCTCATTTAAATCCTTTAAGGCAAGGCATACTTCCTATTTGGGTCAGAATGGATTTTAGAATCAAGCCACACCCATAAAAGATATATGTTTTACTACTGTAAATGTGTAAACCTAGTACCAGATTTGCTTAAAATATAAGGATCAAAATGAAAAGCTATCAACTATATTTCTTCTATTTCCATTTTTATTGCTACAATAACCAGTTGTCTAGAGGCTATGGGATAGGAGGAATACTTTATAAATCTAAAGTAATGGTTAAGATACTGGGGAGGAGGAGCAGAAGTTACTATTTATATAGCACTTATCTACAAAGTAATTTAAACAATGTATTGAAGATAGCTGCAATCCTAACTGTGTCCTATAATGTTGTGAGGAAAGGGTCTGTAATAAATACCATTTCCAAGAGTTAATGCACCAAAAACTGAATGGCTACCATAATATTAACCCTGAAACTCGTGCCTGTTACATCTTAAGAAGATTGCTATCATCAATATTTTTCTCACATGCCTATATGGCCTTGCAAAAAATAACAAAAAAACACCCTGAAAATGTTTTTAAATATTTTGGTGTATAGTAATACTTCTTTCTTCCCAAGAAATTTGTGAGACATCACTTCTCTTAGCTCAATAACTACTGTTTTTAAGTTTACAAGCAAACACTGGTCTTCACAAAATTCCAATGGTCAAGGAGTAATCAAAAGCTAAATTATATCTTAATCATTATCTCCAGGTTATCCCATCTAAGAATGAGCCATTAGAGTTTGATTACTAACTGGGAAAAACTTCCAAAGAAAGCTGAAGTGAGTAGTCAGTATACAAGTCTAAAATATCCTCAACCAAAGAAACATTCTCTTGAATCTGTCTTTCTCTGGTGCTTTCCTCTGGTTTTAAGATCAAAACAACAAAAGCCTATCCTAGGTAAAATAGATATGTTTAAGAAACATACTGCTTAACCTTTGAGTGGCTTGAAATTTCACAAGTCCGCTATCACAATCTTCCACTCCCTTCTCTACCCTGCTTCCTATCTCGAAAATACTATTCTACATCCAAAAATCAATTCCCTCTTATCTATCTATTATCCTATTTCAGGCCCTATTTAAGATAATGAAACAGTCAAAGGTCTAGTTTATAATACAAACCTTATAAATCATCTCTAACCTTTAATATATAAGAAATTCATAAGACAATTTCATGATAGTCAAACCAAAATTTATTTTCTCAGATATCCCAAAAACAAAAAGAAAAATAAGAAATTTTCCTCGCCGGGACCGGTTTAGCTCAATGGATAGAGCGTCGGCTTGGGGACTGAAAGGTCCCGGGTTCGATCCTGGTCAAGGGCATGTGTACCTTAGTTGTGGGCATATCCCCAGTAGGGGGTGTGCAAGAGGCAGCTGATCGGTGACGCTCTCTCATGGATGTTTCTGACTCTCTATCTCTCTCCCTACCTCTCTGTACAAAATCAATTAAATATATTTATAAAAAAAAAAAAAAAGAAAAAAGAAATTTTCCTCAAAAAAATTAATATAGAGTCAATATACAGTGGGATTAAAATCACATTAGCCAAGCCAGTGTGGTTCAGTGATTGAGCATTGACCTATGAACTAGGAGCCCACGGTTCAATTCATGGTCAGGACATGCTTGTGTTGCGGGCTGGATCCCCAGTGTGGGGTGTGCAGGAAGCAGTTAATTAATGATTCTCTCTCATCATTGATGTTTCTTTCTCTCCTCCCTTCCTCTCTGAAATCAACAATATATATTTTTCTAATTCACATTAAAAATCGAACTTTGTGCCCTGGCCTGTGTGTATAATGGTTGGAGTGGGCCCAGGAACAGAAGGGTCGTGGGTTCAATTCAAGGACGCAGGCATGTACCTGGGTTGCACTCCCTGCCCTTTGTCTTCCCATATGTGTGGGAGACAACCAGTTGATGTTTCTCTCTCCCTCTCGTCCCTCCCTCCCACTCTCTCCGAAAAGCAATGGAAAAAATAGCCTCAGGTGAGGTTTAACAAAAAAAAAAAATCATTCTTTGAAATATTGTCCCTATCCCAGTAGATCCTTAGTATCCACTGAAAATAAAATTATTTAAAAAATGAAAATCTAGCCAGAACCAGTTTGGCTCAGTGGATAGAGCATCTGCCTGCAGACTGAAGGGTCCCAGGTTCCATTCTGGTCAAGGTCATGTACCTTGGTTGAGGGCACATCCCCAGTGGGGGGTGTACAGGAGGCAGCTGGTCGATGTTTCTCTCATTGATGTTTCTGACTTTCTGTCCTCTCCCTTCCTCTCTGTAAAAAAAAATCAATGATATACATATATATATATTTTTTTTTTTAAATGAAAATTTAGCCCTAGCTGATCTGGCTCAATGGATAAAGCATCAGCCTGGGACTGAAGGGTCCCAGGTTTGATTCCAGTCAAGGACACATGCCCAGGTTGCAGGCTTGATCCCAGTAGGCAGCAGAAGGCAGCCAGTCAATGATTCTCATTCATCATTGATGTCTCCAGTTCTCTCTCTAAAATCAATAAAAATATATATATATTTTTAAAGAAAACCCATACACCATCAAAAGCAAACATTGACTGCCATTATGCACAAGGATATCTATCTATTGTTTTCAAATTTTTTAGCAACCAGACTATTAAAATCAAGTCTTATAAAGACCCTTATAACAAATACTAGAAGCCCGGGAGCCCTCTGGGAGCAGGACTAAGCTAGCAGTCTGACATCCTTAGCACTGCCACTGAGGTAGGAGCTCCCACCACCACCACTACACTTGGCTTGCCAGCCATAAGCCCAGGTTCTAGCTGAGCGGTGCTCCTCCTGTGGGAGCCCACTGACCACAGGGGGCAACTCATGCATTGAGCATCTGCCCCCTGGTGGTCAGTGTGAGTCACAGTATCCAGTTATTCCACTGCTCGGTTGATTTGCATATTACCCTTTTATTATATAGGATGGTATGGTATATGTATGTGCAAAGTTAAAGGGATCCACAAGCACTTGTACTTTCACTGAGGCAACTTGTAAAACTGGGATATAATATGAAAACCACTATTACATATAGTAGTTCTAATTCTTTCCAATATCATCAAAAATTAGAATAAAAGTTGAACAAGGTATATAGAAAGCCACTTTGTGCATCAATAAACATGTAATTATTTCTGCAAAAATATGGAGCATGTCCCACCCTCCTAGATTTGTTTCAGTGTATCATCATTTGATGTTATAGAAAGATGACATTACATCCTATACTACTACATAATAAGCAGTCCTTACTGAGAACACATAACTTTTTAAGAATTTCATGACACTTCCTCAAAAACAATTACTACTGTAAAACCAAGTGTGGGTTCAACTGCACAGCAAAAATAATAAATGGTGCAGTATAATAAATTTTAAAAATAAGTTTAAAATGTAGTACAAAAAGCTCAGAATAATTAGTTTCAGAATCCAATGAGCATTAATATAAACTGTTTCAAAGTATAAATACTATGCTGTATCTTATGTATTAGATATTCTCAACCAGAAGTAATTTTAAGTGAAGTTAATACATTTCCTATGTTGTGGAAAAACAAGTATATAAAAGTCATCATAATATACTTACTGAAGTAGATTAAAATCAGTTGGTATTTCTGGAGCTGCTATCATTTCTTTATCATCTTCTGGAACGCCCCAATGTCAGAAATATATTCATATATTTACGTGGGTAAAAATGAAAGCTCGCTTCCTTCTTCTAAGACAGAAAATTCCTTTAAAGGGGAAAAATGCCATATCTATTATAAATATACCAAAAATATTGGGAAGGGTATCTACACTCAAAACCTAAATTCCCGTGCCTGCTACTGTGTTTCAGTAATTATTTCTTTCCCTTGAATTTGACTGCTCTTTCTATATATGATTTATTACAACTATTGTAGTCCCACAATAGCAACAACAGATACAAAGAAAGAAGCTTGTATTACAGACAATTATTTTTAAAATTTGCTAAGATTCTCTAGTCTGGATTTTTTTTTAAAAAACAACATATAATCCTAACTAGGAACATTATATGACTCTTTACTGTTACTGAAATCCTTATAATAAGTTTAAAACATAATACAAGATGTCTGATAACTCTATCTTTTGCTGGTAACGTACAGTACAATCAAAAGGAACAGATAAAAAAATTAAGATATTTTGAAAACACTATAAAAGCAGGTTCTTTTACTATAGAAGAAATATACAGTCCAAAGTCTTGCTTATTAATATTAATAAATAACCACTTCATAATAATATCGCATTGTGTTTAATAGGAAAGAGGGGAAATGCTAGCTCTGATCTATTCCCTTTCCCTCAAGGAACTTGTAATCAATTTAAATACCAATAACATCATGTGGACAACAGTGTAAATTTGGCCATAGGAAGAGTATTATTTCTAGTTTTGAAATTCAATGATGCAGTTCCTAAATGAAAGAATGACCTAAGAGCAAATGACAAGTCTAACAAATACAGAGAGATAAAATAGACTGGGTGTAGAGTTTTTCATCTTATGTGTAACATTGTTTTATAATTTTCTTATGCTTTTCTTGCCAAGTGAATCTAGGACCTGGTGGCCACCTAAAGAAAAGGCAGGTCAGACTAAACAAGTCCAATAATAATAAATCTTCAAATATCATATACTAATAAACTTCTAATGATCTTTCCAATAGAGCAGGCATTATACAAGAAACTGGTAATTTGCTTTTTCCATTATTTCTACAGCTCTAAAAACATCAATAATGGCTAGTCAAAGCACAGCATTTCCCAGCTCACTCTAATGAAGCTACTATTAATAGCAAAATAATGAGGTAATAAGAGAAACAAGAATTTATAACTCACAAAGTAAGCCCTAAAAAATCCAGGGTTGTCTATACCATCACTTTTAGCTTACTTTTTCTATTCTAAAGAATAATCGCATTATAAAATCTTTGTTTAGACATGACTGTTAGCATGATCTTCTTGCAATAAATCATGGTCACAGGATTGTTCCCCAAGACCACTAATTGTTCAGCTTATTGCAACCTAAGATGTTATCTAAATAGTACACCAGAATTCTGAGGCTTGCCATTACATGAGGGACACAACTAGCCTCCTAAAAACCCAAACTTATTTTAAAAGAAAAGTATTGCCCTCGCTGGTTTGGCCCAGTGGATAGAGCGTTGGCCTGTGGACTAAATGGATCCCAGGTTCAATTCCTGGTCAAAAGCACATGCCTGAGTTGCAAGCTAGATCCCCAGTAGGGGGTGTGTAGAAAGCAGCCAATCAATGATTCTCTCTCATCATTGATGTTTCTATCTCTATCTCCCTCTCCCTTCCTCTCTGAAATAAAAAAAAATATTTTTTTTTAAAAATAAAAAGAAAAGTATTTTTTAAGAAAGAAAAAATTATGTATTTTGTTTGTTTGTTTGTTTGTTTGTTTTAAGAGAGCTGGAGAGGTATAGAGGTAAATAAGTTCTAACCAACACGTCAGGTTATCTAGATGGCAAGAAAGTGTTTGCTCAGTTTGTCCGTCTACCTGACCCTAGTCTCTCTGAGCATTTTACAAAACCAAACTTGCTGCATCCATTAGATATCAGTTTTTTAAGCAGACATTAAAGATAATTCATAAATATATTCCCCTAAGGACAAAAACAATGTATCAGCTCTAAGAAGCAGAGAGTAGTAAATAAAAAATAAGTAGCATGATATACTACATTCTTCTACATAGCATAAAATTTCTAGTGAACAAGTATTGTCAGGTCAAATTATTTAGCTCAGTATAAGGTTATACTAACATGTGCTTAGAATCTAGAAACTAAAACAAACAGAAGAAAACTGGAATTTATAAAGATGTGAGTCTTCCAGACAAGGAATCTATTTTTTAAAAAGAAATACCATCTAACAAAGTTAGAAAAAAATTATTAAATTGGCAACTCTCTATGCCCAGTAAAATACTTATTTTTAAAAGTTTCTAAATATCAAAAACTCCATCCAACCAATTAAGAATATCCACCATGTGCCAAACTCAGTGCAGGTCACTGGACATATGGTGGTGAAAAACGAGGGTAATAATCCTTGCCCTTATGGAAACCTGCAATAAATATGAAAATATATTTATTCCACCCTGACCAGTGTGGCTCAGTTGGTTGGAGCATCTTCCAGTATACCCAAAGGTTACGGGTTTGATTCCCGGTCAGGGTATATATACCTTAGGTTGTGGGTTGTTTCACTCTCGGGTCAGGACCAACTGATGTTCTCTCTCACATCCATGACTGTCTCTCTCTTTTTCTTTCCCTCTCTCTTCTCCCTATCTCTGTTTCCCTCTCTAAAAAAGACCAATAAGCATATATTCAGGTGAGGATTAAAAATATATAATTATAGCCGAAACTGGGTTGGCTCAGCGGATAGAGCGCCAGCCTGCGGACTGAATGGTCCCGGGTTCGATTCCGGTCAAGGGCATGTACCTTGGTTGCGGGCACATCCTGAGGTGGGGTGTGCAAGAGGCAGCTGATGGATGATTCTCTCTCATAGATGTTTCTAACTCTCTATCCCTCCCTCTCTCTTCCTCTCTGTAAAAAAAAAAAATCAATAAAATATATTTTTAAAAAGTATATATATATATATATATATATATAATTATATTTATTTCTACAAGGCACCTAACTCTACAGCCACCTAATATTAAACATAGGAATAGTAAATTCCATGTTTCTGAATTTTCACTGTTTTAATCATTCTCTAAATAACCAATTTACCACCCAAACAGTTCTTCACTGCTCAAGAGCTGAGACATTTACCCTTTTAATTTTAAATGTCTACAGCTGTATAAAGACAATTTGCTTCCTCCAAAGACTTACATTAAAAAATTTACAAGCAAAGACTTTAAATGTACTTACTACCATTTCACTTAAGTTGGAAAACCCCAAACTGTAAGACCATGTTAATGCTCAATAAAAGTATTAAATTAAATAGGCAAACTTATCACATCATTCCTGGTCTACTATAGGCTATTAATATTTTTAAGAATATGCTCAAAGATCACAAGGTGGAGCTCTCACCTAATGTCAAGGAAAAACTTCTGAGATTTTTATCACATGAACCTATTTTCTATAACTGCTATAAAAGAGTTAACATTCCAACAGCTTTGGAGAATAAAACATAGAATTGAAAGATGCTTTAACTCTCAACTACTATTTTCCTTGGGGGGGGGGGGAATATATCCAAAAACAACTAGCTTCTTTTTCTCCTTACTGAAAACTAAGTGAACCCATTTTATACTACCGTTTCCCTGAAAATAAGACAGTGTCTTATATTAATATTTGCTCCCAAAGATGTGCTAAGTCTTATTTTCAGGGGATGTCTTATTTTTCCATGAAGAAGAATACGGTACACATTTATTGTTAAATGAAAATAAAGGAAATTTATTACCTGTATACAGTACGGTAGTACGGTAGTTGTCAACACACACCAGACAAACTGAATCCTACACAGTCTCAAGAATTTACTCATTTATTCAATGACAATCATGTCATCATCTTCTGGAACATCATCATAACAATCCAATTTCTGAATTTCCTGGTGAATTTCTTGTGACTCCATTTCTTTCAGAATCAGTGGACCAAATCTCTCATGTTTAGCCTGGGGGGGGGGGCTTATTTTGGGGGGAATGCCTTATATTTCACTCAGAAGGAAACCTGTAAGTAGGTCTTATTTTCGGAGGATGTCTTATTTTCGGGGAAACACGGTAGTAGATAGGTTGCGTAATATACTGTAAAACCACTTCCTTAGGCTTAAGTGTTCAGTATACAGCCATTAAAGGTTTATTAAATACATTCATATATAATTACTGGATTAAAAAGGAATAGGTCATAATAGATTAATTCTGTATGTTAAATTCAAGTACACGCTCACAAGTACTGCTTTTAATATAAATAGTTCTAAAAACTGAATCATGATCACCATAACACTTCAAATTATCTATAATGATATATGTTTATAGTCTGTTACTCGAAGTTTATATTCCAAGTTAAATTAATTCAATAACAAATAAAAAACTTTCTACTTCCACTTCTGTAAAATCTGTTTTCTTCGTAAAATAATTGTTTCAAAGTTCTTTTAATTCAAGCCAACTGGTCTCAAGACAGAAAATAAGAAAAAACAAAATACAGCCTTCACTAAACAAGGCCCCTCAGAATTCACATATTATTTAGGAGTGATTAATTACAACAATGAGCTAAATTCACGTTAGCACTCGTAAATGGTCTACAACATGATATAAGCACAATGCATTAAAATCATCACACCCATTCACATTGGGCACCACTGGCTCACTGGCAGATTTCAAGTAATAACATATCAAAGCAGATTTCATAGCAAAGTAGATGAAGACAGGATAAACCTGGATTTCAAGAGAAATCCAAATATTTTATTTCACATAATATTCTCTAATTGATTACATCAAAAACTTTCAAATTTATTTATTCAAGGTAGTAGAAAGTACTTAACTGAAAGATTCAGTCTATTAATAATTCTTATGAAAATGGATATACAATTCAATTAGTAAACAATAATAAAGCCAAAGTGTAATTTAAACAGCTGTATAGACAATGATGGGAAATTTTAATCTAAAATTTAGGATTGCAGTTACTAAC